CCCCCCATTTTGCATTTTGAAATGCTCCCGATTTCTGAGGTCTCAAGGTTGGCAAGTATGGGCATGAGCCGGCGAGAGTCACGTTACCATGCTTGCTGTGATTACGAGTGTGGAATAAACATGTCATCTCAGAGCAATGCATGTGTTCAAGCATATTATCAATTTGATCCAGAAACTGACCCTGAAGCAGCGGAGGTTTTGGTGGAGGTGCAAACATCTTGGTTGCAGCAGGACGTTTCTGAATGGGTAGTTGACAAGCTGTTGTCCCTATTTATTTTACTCTGTTTGTTACGATGCTTGCTACTTATTCCGTTCATATTTTGGCTAATTAGCAAGAATGCAATGTGTACAGTTTGTAACTTAGAGTTTGACCCAGCAATAAGTCTCTGAAAGGCGGGGAAAAGTTGTGTGGAATAGGGGCAGAGCGCAGCGGCAGGCAGAGAGGAGAAGGCTGCGATACCCCCCCCCCACAGAGCGCACCCAGAGGACAGGTTGCGTCACCTCACTTTGTAACCCAGGAAAGGAGCAGGAATCCTGGGTACGTGAGTGTTAAAAGTACATTAAACTGTTTTAATCCGCCAGCCGCTGATGTGCACGGACGTCTGTCCGTTTCGTTAACATTTGAATAGCCAAATGGAAGGAAATCCATCCTATATGCGAATGAGAGGTTTGGCAATGCACGTGGCCGTGGCTCATTCCCCTGATAGGTGGAGAGTTGACCAATAAGCGGAGCACCTCTTTTTGACGTAGAAAAGTGTTGAAATCTGGATCCGTTTTTTTCAGATCCGTTGCAGCCCCTTTTTTAGAGATTTGGCTAAGGAGGAAAATAGAGAGGGTTGTGTTTTCTGACACTTCCCTGGAACACCGGGGGACACATATTCATGTATAAAAGACGTACAAACCTTTGTACGTCTTTTATACATGAATATGTGTCCCCCGGTGTTCCAGGGAAGTGTCAGAAAACACAACCCTCTCTATTTTCCTCCTTAGCCAAATCTCTAAAANATCCCACCATTCCGACAACATCTGTCAACTCCCTACAGTCAACAGAGGGAAGAGCGGAACAGTCAGAGCCTGACCCAGCAGCGCGGCTTCACTGTTGACTCACTGTATGGTTCCGTCCTGTGTGTTGTGTGTTCGTGTTCTGATGCAGCTGTATGTCCTGGACTTTCCCGTTCAGCTTGATAGAAGCACAGGAGACATCAGCAGCTATTGGCTGGCTCCACACACCGTGCCCGGCACCTTTCTCCCTCTCGCCCTTATCAAATCGGACACTCCACCAGTCTCTGGTCGCGATCTGACATGACAGCCTGGTGTGGCACTGACATGACAGCCTGTGTGTTTGCACACGGACCAACCCCTCCCCCCACCCCGTCCGGAGGTGCGGGTGCCAGTGAGTACGAGACAGAGGGAGATCAGAGTAATGAAGTGCAGAGCTGTGTTGTGAGCTAATCAAAGCGAACCATGCAGGGCCACCTCTCCCTGTGATCCAGACTAGATGACCCAGGGCCATAATTAGTCTGAGACTTTCATTCTGATAGCAGCAAATTAACAGACTTCATTAAGCTTCTCTCTCCTCTCCTCTCCTTCTCTATCCCCGCTGTACCAAGATCCTTTTCTAAATTTGAAAGCACTAAATTGCTCCTGCGTGAGCATCAGCGTCTACAACATAGCACTTGATTGCTCTTCACAAAGGAACTAACATACCCTACAGGGAAACACGGAAGTACAAACATTTAAAAATAAATTTACAAATCTGGATGTAAATTGTTGACGCTGAATCAAAAGATTCATAATTGATTAGGATATTCTGTTAATCAGCATGTAGAGACCTGAGGGAGTGCATTATACCGCTGCTATTCTCAGTGGAGTAGTGCCCTCTAAAGGCGTTGTGTAGACCTACCCACGGCCTCAAAATATGTATGCATGAGTGTGTGTGATAAAATGAGCATTTTCTGACTACTCTGTCATATCAGGTATGAGGCATTATTATCTCCATTTCATTTCACTATGTGACAACAGCAGTTCCATCTGAACAGTTGTTAAGCCCACCCTAACATTTCCCAAGTCATTCAATGGATTAATGGCATCCCAAATCCTTCGTCTCTCAAGTCATTTGCCATTTTCTGTTTTTCTGCCTGTATTGTGGCAAACATATCCGCGCCCATCCCTTCCAACACTTCCCCCACCCTTGATACACAAACCTACATGTGTGGATGAAAGATCACCGCGGAAAAATAAAGTCGCGAAAGCAAATATGTTTTTAACGAGCCAGCCCATTACTTTGGTGATATGAGAACATAAAAACACAAATTGGTAATAAATTGAGGTGCTGATGCTTGAGAAACGGAGGCAGTAGAAAAACGAAGAAAACAATGGAGAGAAAAAAAGGAAAGCTGAAAAACAGGTTCACCACACACACAAAAAAAAGGCTGAGAGGATAATCAGTGTGTGTGTGTGTGTGTGTGTGTGTGTGTGTGTGTGTGTGTGTGTGTGTGTGTGTGTGTGTGTGTGTGTGTGTGTGTGGTACTAACCATAACCCAAAATACTAGGTAGTAGGACATTGTAAAAAAAAAAAAAAGCCACATGTTCACTGTGTAAACTACGTGAGCAGACCTTTCCTTTCAACACCAACACCGCAAAGAGACTTTAATAATTATGCATCTGATGAGATCTGTCATAATGG